CATACACATACAAAGCATTAAGTCACTTCTTCACCTTGTCCAATACACGGGAATATATCGTTAGTGCAGGTCGGATTAGCAGTGTAGCAGACGCAGACACCAGGTGTCTCGAATTTGGTAAGTTCTCAATATGTCTGCATGAAAAAGCTTCACAAAGGCCTTGAATGTTGAAACAGAGATGAAACAAAGTTAGAGAGACTTGTCTCAAAGACCGGTTTATTCATATGTTGAAATTAAAGTGGAGAGATCATGCACCACTGTACCTCAAAAGAGTCGAAACGTAGGCGCCAGAGTCTGGTGCTGCTTGAATACTGTTCTACAAGACGGGACGAGTCCTACATGGGAGTCAACACTCTTGTTATGAAGTCTAGCGGGGAGTTCTTTCATCCAACGCAAGCAGAAGTAGTGTTAGGGTCATTCTTGTTTAACTCTTTGTCTTATGGTATTCAGTACCACATTCACTTGCTTTGAGTTTAGACATAAAGAAACAGTTGAGCAAGGAACTAATTTGATGACGCACTGTCCACTTCAGTGTAACGCAGAACTTAAAGATTGCTTCATGGTGATTGTCCCAGAACTTGCCCTCACCAAATCCTTTCGAAATACAAGAACTGTGTATATATTATATATTTACTTGTCCTATTGTTACATTTTTAGACATATTCACTTTGTGTCAGTTTACCTGAAGAATTAGATTCACCCTGGGCCAGTTTGCCCCCATGCCCAGTTTGACCTACATATGGCATCTTGACAATTATGATGACGTGTGTGCATAGAACACAGGGTCACATATGTGTTAACAAAACCTACATACTGAATGTGTGGTGTGCAGTTATGGCTTGAGGTTAAAACAACTGTTAACTCCACACGTCAAAAACCTGGGTTCGAATCCCAACATATATACACAGTGTCCTACATGCCGATATATCTGGTTGGTGCTTAAAGCGGGGAAACATTGACAACAGATTATTATATATACACGGTGTGCAACTGCCTTTTTACTCCCACAAGTTGATATATCGGGTTGGTGTGCACAGCGGGGAAACATTGCCAACATATATACACGGTGTGCAACTGACTGTTGTCGTCCCACAAGTTGATATATCGGGTTGGTGTGCACAGCGGGGAAACATTGCCAACATATATACACGGTGTGCAACTGACTGTTGTCGTCCCACAAGTTGATTATATCGGGTTGGTGTGCACAGCGGGGAAACATTGCCAACATATATACACGGTGTGCAACTGACTGTTGTGCAAGTTGATTTATCGGGTTGTTGTGCACAGCGGGGAAACATTGCCAACATATATACACGGTGTGCAACTGACTGTTGTCGTCCCACAAGTTGATTTATCGGGTTGGTGTGCACAGCGGGGAAACATTGCCAACATATATACACGGTGTGCAACTGACTGTTGTCTCCCACAAGTTGATATATCGGGTTGGTGTGCACAGTGGGGAAACATTGCCAACATATATACACGGTGTGCAACTGACTGTTGTCTCCCACAAGTTGATATATCGGGTTGGTGTGCACAGTGGGGAAACATTGCCAACATATATATACACGGTGTGCAACTGACTGTTGTCGTCCCACAAGTTGATATATCGGGTTGGTGTGCACAGTGGGGAAACATTGCCAACATATATACACGGTGTGCAACTGACTGTTGTCTCCCACAAGTTGATATATCGGGTTGGTGTGCACAGCGGGGAAACATTGCCAACATATATACACGGTGTGCAACTGACTGACTGTTGTCTCCATATATACACGGTGTGCAACTGACACAAGTTGATATATCGGGTTGGTGTGCACAGCGGGGAAACATTGCACGGTGTGCAACTGACTGTTGTCTCCCCACAAGTTGATATATACACAGCGGTACACGGTGTGCAACTGACTGTTGTCTCCCACAAGTTGATATATCGGGTTGGTGTGCACAGTGGGGAAACGTTGCCAACATATATACACGGTGTGCAACTGACTGTTGTCTCCCACAAGTTGATATATCTAGCATAGTGCCCAAAGCGAGGACACCCCGTTAACATGAACGCAAGATAAATTTCCTCCAGAATGTTATATTTATTGGCGCTTCATATATTTTGTAGGTTTAAGCGCTGCGCGAAAGATTTTAAAGGTGCTTCAAGTGCAAACCGCTGTACAACAAGAGAGGTACATTGTCATGCCCTGTCACTGTGTTACCGTGAATACAAACGCAAATTCAATCTTTGATGAACATTCAACAATTTATTGTGCCAATCAGCTCACGATATGCTTTTGCATATAACTTGGCATAAACTAATACAGGTGATCACAACCTATCTAGGAGTGATGGACACAGCCAACAATGGATGGATTATGAAAACACGAGAGGGGCGGCTGTAAAGTTCTGAAGAAGTACTACCCTTTACACGTGTAACGACAACACAACGCAGGCTGCAACCTCCACAGCACCAGGCTACAACCTCCACAGCATCAGACTACAACCTCCACAGCACCAGGCAGTATGGTTATATAGGCAGCAAACAAACCCGGCATCCTTTGTTTCTGAAAACAGCACTGTCACCAACCATCTCCAAATGAACCCAACAGCCAGCTGTGTGGACATGGTGGTGTTAACATAGGGTGACCCCTTTCCACTGCCACTGTCAAGAATTTGGTAGCGATGCTTTAAAGGGGAAAGATAGCCTGCAGTTGGGCCAATAGCAAGATGTTTAACTGCTTCCACGTAATGCAGGGGAGTTCAGACCGGTCTGAGCAATGGGCTGGACACGATAACGGTTTCCGCACATTGAATTCAAATGTTACTGGCATCGGCTCAGAAAATGTCTTGGTGAATCATCTCTCGTGAGAATGTGTACATCGTCTCCTCCCAAAACGGCGAAGTCTGTTCGATCAGACAGGGAGATGCCTTGAGTATTCTGGGATTCCAAAGTAACCCTTACAGGTGGACTACCTTCCAAAAGGTGAAACCACTAGTTATCATGTGCTTAGGGAACTGCATGGGTAAAGAGTTAAGGTGACGCCTGTTGTTCCACCAGGATGATGTGCTTGTTCTGGTATAATATGCATCCGTGGCCAGAATGCATGCCTGTGGTTTCTCATTGAACATCTATCGTATTCATCGTATTTGGCACCGTGGGACTTCCACAGCTCCCCCTCAAGAGATAAATGCACATGAAGATGGTGTCATTTCTGCTGTGGAACACGGTTTTACACAGCCAGGTGGAAATACTCTGTACCAGTTAGATCCAGGCAGTTCAGGGCCGATGCCATAACATGGACCAAAGTCTTTGTTGCAACAGGGCTCCGAACATTTTAGCCACCCCTCTGTGTCGTGATGTTATAGTGGCGGCGACACGGTCAGTATTGTACAATATATAACAGTCAAGCAGCACTGATGGCAAACGAATAACAAGCAATGATAACATTCAAACGCCAGTAGCATAACAACCACTATAAGCATATGGCAGACAGTTGAACACAACAAACGTTTTCTATTTGGCTTTAGCTTTTAAATAACTTATACATAAAGTATAATGAAATTAAATACATCTTTTATAAATATAGATTCAATCAAAAAATACAAATAAAGATCCCAAAAGGGAGGATGAAATAAATAATCCATTTATGACGACACCCGGAAGTGAGTGACATACCTCCTCCTCCCTATGTGAGCGTGACACCTGCTACAACACACCAGTCACACACATCTTGAGCTGAGACGCCGGGAATGACAAGGGTTGAGGTGTATCAGTTCCCATACAAAGAGAGGTCTGTCGTCTAGATACAACCAGGTCAGACTGGGGAAGCTTGCTGCATTGAGTAGGACGACGCGGGGGAGACGGACATGCATTTGTGACCTACATAGGAATGTACATTCGACTGAGTGTACGGCTTATTTAGACATACGGACATGACGTAACTCAACAGTTGACGAACATCACAGTCAGTCTGATGTACGACCGACGTTAGATGCACATATTTATACAATCAATTATAATAAATGAATGGATAATATTACATCGTTGATAAACTCACAGTTCGTTTTACAGATCAATATTATCACTGTTTGTAATGACATCAGCCACACCTCCAAGGAGAGTAAAAACACAATCAATCTGAAACCATGCCGTCGTTTACCAAAATTAACACAATTTCAATCTCAATATATTTTCAGATATTTAAAAACACACGAGGCTAAAGTTAAAATCTGTACGGTATTCGGCATATCAAGAATCAGAGTTAGGTCTGTTGTCAGAATAATGTACTATATAAACATGGCCACACCATACGTATTTCTGTACTCGAGTACCTGTGTTCCGTATCCGATTACAACGATACCGACACTACCGATGTTACATATCACGATGTCCACGAAGCAGAACAGCTCAAGGACTTTAATAACGTCTCATATATCTGGCCGCCGTGATGTTGCTGGAATATTGCTAAAAGCGGCGTAAAACCAAACTCAGTCAGTCAGTCATATATCTGGGTAATTCAAGAAGGCGGAGAAAGAAGTTCCTCGTTTATATACACCGGTCTGTGTCTACTACATGTGCCGAGAGTCAGTCACACACAGGTAGTGTGGCTCACACACGCATTCACACACATGTAGTGTGGCTCACACACGCATTCACACACATGTAGTGTGGCTCACACACGCATTCACACACTCGTAGTGTGGCTCACACACGCATTCACACACTCGTAGTGTGGCTCACACACGCATTCACACACTCGTAGTGCGGTCTCACAATGGCACCTGCTCGTAGAGGAGCTCGCACAGGTAGTCACACACCCGTAGTGCGAGTCACACACATAGAGCGTTTGCTGCACGAACATTAATAGCACTCACAAAATTCAATGATAATGAACATGTTGTACTAGACAGGTAAGTCTTATCCAGGTACGTCCCGCACAATCACAATGTCGGAATGGATGATAAAGGGACAGAAAGAATAACAGATGCGAATACAGCGGTCAATGCATGTGTGGAATCAAAAATGTTTGAGCGTATTTGGTAAATGTTGTTTTGATTGCAACTGACCAAATTGTTGACATAAATTCTCAAACAGTACTTCTGAAAAGTCTTGGTCCCATAATAACATGAAGTGTTGATTTTATCTATACGTGGATCCGACGCAGTGATAAATAGGTTATACATATATAGTTAAATCACAGCGACGTGTTGCCCTCAGTATGAACAACATCGCGAGCTGCGTCCCCTGACAGGCGACCAGGGTAGCAGATGCTAGGAGCGAGCACCCTGTTTCTTCATCCAAGTTTACATCGTTGTTGGCGACGTCAGAAGCCAGTGGTCTGTTGAGGTCGTCATCGTCCTGAAATAATGGAATGAAACAATGTGAGAATCATTTCGGCATTGACAGTTTGTAGGAAACAGGAATCATAATGTTTGACTTACTTCATGTACTGAGTGGGTACCACGTAGAAGGGAGGTAACTCCAGCACTACTACCACTGCGTTGCGTGTCTAAGTACATGTAATCGTTACTCCCTGGCCATTTCTTACGTCTCATTACACGTATGTCAGAATAAAATGTGTACACAGTGAGGTGGGGCATAATGGCATGATTACCGTATTTTTTCATATAATAGTTGGGTAAAAACTGCAGATCGCAGATCCGTCGTAATATAATAAATACATGCTGAACTCGTTATTCAAGGAAAACATTTAATGCATTGCATTGTCTTGTTCTACATTTGTACGTATGTATGCACAGAAAACCATTGCCAATGGACTTTATCTAGTTCCTCGTATTTAACATATGGTCTTACTGCAGTAATCAGCTTGCAGTCAGATTTATTGTTACATGGCTTGGCATGTGAAACCCCGGACATAAGATCTCTAAACATTCAACATCTCACAATTTAGCCATATGCCAAACAAACATAATTACCTGCACACATTGAATAGAGTAACCTCCCTTTGGCCTCGGCAATGTTTTTGTAGTGGTCGACGTGCACCACGTTTCTTGAGGCTGGAGACGTGACTAACTGCTCAAGCTGCTTCTCATCATAATGGTTGCCTGTAGCGACCACAATGAACCGGATGTTGGTGAATTTCGCTCTCCTTGCCTCAAGAATCGTAGGCCCTGGATTGTCAAGTATATCGTCAACAAATATGACTGCAATTTTCTGAGATGACTTCCGTCCGCCATAACGCGACTTGAAGCTGTACCTCCTTAACTTTTGAATAAGTGGTTGAAGTCCTTTATGCTCGACATTCTTCAAATGACGTTTGAATGCATGGGCATTATCGTATTGCGACAAGCCTATGTCGGGGGTTTGAGAACAGGACTCTCGGATGATTCCGGCACGAGTCACGTGGTGTTTCAGTTCCATCTCGCGGACTACGTCAGTGATGAGGTGTTCGATCATGAGACTGTGACGTCGACCAATAGCCCCGGAGTCTAACACAAACATGACGTCAGTCGCTGTGTCAAAGCTGCACGAACCTGAAATCATGTACAATTTATTGACTTCTAACCACATGTGTATAACCGCTGTAAAGCTGTTTGCATGTATACAGTCCATTTCTTTCCGTGATATAGGTATACAGTTCGTTAATATTAACTGTTATAGGTCCTGGAAACGAGTTAGTTATCAAGTAGCATACATAACGAGGCGACTTATTCATATATTCTCAGTCCGTGACATGCACAGAGTTAACAATGCCTGAAGGGACAGCAGCCAACTATTTGTAGCCCACTGCACACGTTAATTACCCCTGTCTGACATAAGGAGGAATGAAGACACTTACTTGGCTGATCCTTCACGAAGTTCTGGGGCACTGAAACAGACAACAGAAGAAATGAACCACGAGGTCAACACTCTTCCTTATAAAAAACCTGAAGAGGGAAAATGATGTGACTAAAGTTTTTGTAGACACAGCTGGACGTGTCACATGAATTCGGGTGTCCGGTTGACAAGGATTGTCATAATGCATCAAGATATGCTTCAACTGGGACACTGGCTGCTAGGACTTTAAGCACCATCACGCGCCAAGGGTCACGCTGACCTGTGGCGACCCTGCTCCAGTGTCAAGCACGAGTCTCGTTCCACAAAGAGACCGTACCACGCAGGCGATCGAACTCACATACTTCAACATAAGGGGCGGTGGGGTAGCCTAATGGTTAAAGCGTTGGCTCGTCACGCCGAAGACCCGGGTTCGAATCCCCACATGGGTACAATGTGTGAAGCCCATTTCTGGTGTTCCCCGCCGTGATGTTGCTGGAATATTGCTAAAAGCGGCGTAAAACCAAACTCAGTCAGTCAGTCAGTACTTCAACATAAACCTTCGACTACACTACACTCGGTTTCAGGAACGGGGCCCAGGTCAAGTGGCATAGGTGCAGCTGAGTGAGTGAGTGAGTGAATAAAGGTTTAGTCCCAAATCCGCACTATTGCAGCTGCAAGGGTCTTCAGTCAGTAACTGAAGCCAGCCAGCCATACTAATAACAATGAGGGGTTCTATTCTGCACGGAGCATTCGCCTATGTGTACATGGTCCAGCTTAGAACACATACCTTGACAGGCCTTAATCGCGAGTAGTTCCTTGATGCTTGTCAGAGCCGTGTAGTCGTCCACTTGGAATACAAAGTCTTTGTCAGGGTTGCATGCGATGTCGTTCAGCTCAAGTGTGTCAACAAACTGACCAATGCCGATAGCAAAGAGATAGATACCGGCTTTGTGGGCACGCCGGGACTGAAGGGATGTGTTCGTCAGGTTCTTTGACTGGCCGTCTGTCATCAGAATCGCTACATGAGCAACTTCCGGCCTGGCAATATCAGCACTAAATCCGTGGTCGGTGAGATACCTGCGAAGACCAAGGCGACTGACTTAGCGAGTATTCGGGAGTACTGTTTCTTAGATTAAAACATCCGGAAGCGATTTGCATTGCCCATTCGGACATGGATATAATGATTTAGTAACTGTTCTTTTAATGTCTAGCAATGTCGTTTAAACTTCGGATACCTTACATATAACAAATTGTGTTGTTCATTCACGATTGTAGCAACAGAATCCAGTTCCACTTGCCAGATAGTGCCCGATACAGCTGTGGTTTTATTGTAACAAGGTACGCTAAACGAAACATATCACTGTGTCAGTAAACTTTCCTGTTTGAAAATGATCTGCGCGTGCTAAAAGAAGTGTCTCTCACCTGATAGCTCCACCTGTGTTTGTTCCACCACCAGTGTACGGAATCTTGTCGATCTGCTCTTCCAAATACTGGCGGTTCTGACTACCGGAGAGAGGGATGATAGGATGAATGCCGTCGCTGAATGTGATGACGCCGACTCTGGTGCTGTCCTGGCCGAGGTCGAACTGACCGATGACCTCCTTGATGAAGTCCAGCTGCTTGTGGAAATCAGGCTTCCAGATGCTGGAGGAGCTGTCGACGATGAAGTATACGTCTGCCGGCTTCCCGCCACACCCTGCTGCAGACACAGTTTTGTTGGTGAACCTCATTTTGATGACCACTTGTACAACTTAGGTACTATCTCAACGAGTGATCGATTATTGTTATTCGAGCGAACCGATTCCATAAAGTTACCACATTCCAGACAGATTCCACATGAGTTCGCCAGAGTTCATTCAGGGGAACTTAGGCATTGATATACATAAAACACCCTAACCTATATAATGCAACCTCAGGTATAATTGAAACTGGCTTCCAGAAGGTGATATGTCCTTATGCATTGCTATGACATACAAATAGTAGAGGTAACTAGTGTTTTATTCACAAAGCTGCCACTGTACCCGTTGTATTTGATGACTGTAAAACATTTCAAAATAATGCGATATGAAATACAAGCTGCATTATTGATTCTAGAATATGTATGTCAACTATCCAAAGCTAAATTACCCTGTCGAATATACATGTACTATCAGAGCCTGTTAATGAGGTTCATTTAAATTCTTGTATTTGTCACTGAATCAATCAGCTGTGACGATACGTCCCTCGGTTGCCTATCACAGCACTGCACCCAACAGGTACAGCAGGTTTACCGAAGTATGACGTAAATCAGTAAACACATTCTAACACTGGCCAACCAGATCTTCCTTGGGTTGTACCCTAGTCAACACGACCTCAGGTGTGTCCTCCAGGGGGGAAGCAATCAGTACTGTGTTAGCAGGTGCATCCTGCAGTCTGCATTAAAGTGAACTTCTTCATCCATACACACAGTTCATGTACTTCTAAATGTACTACTACTTATATTTTCTTCAACACTATACCTTCTCTACTTCTCCTAGTTCTTCCTCTGACGAGTCTGTATGTTTGGTACGTACATTGAGTATACTGTAGTGTAATCCTGAACACCAAATAGGCGAAATAACACAAAAAATATTGATTGTACGAATTTGTCGATATTTTCTACTGAAGACAGGTATTGATTTTCATATTACTTCAGAATTTGATTTTCATTTGACTGAACTCATGGAATATCAATTTTCAGGATAAATTAATTTAAGCTTTCACTGGTTTTCTTCACACGATGAGACCTTGTAAAGAGAGTGTAATTTGACATTAAAGCAGTTTGTGAATTATAATGTCATTTGTATGTTGTTAGTAGGTAGGTCACAGAAACCTATTTCTCATAAAAAGGTGTTCCACGATAAATGCTGCACTTGAAATTTCACAAGACTGGTCGCTTTCACCCAAACAGTTGAACATGTTTGACAACGTACCTTTGTATTAATTACAAGGCTACAAGGTGATTTTGTGTCTGTGCAATGCCCGTCGTGGACTTGAGATGTTGTGCGACGTGAGGAAGAATGTGTGACACATCTGTCTGGTGGTGGTATGTTCATTTCTATACCCTGTCCCATATTTTCATAATCCCAGTCGTCTGCCTGTGTGCACTTATGTTTGTGCGTGCGCGCTAATGCGCGTGTGTATGGTTTGTGAGGGGATAAGTGCATGCTAATAAAGATTAATTCTTAATTATACGGTTTACTGAACGATTTACAACCAAACAATAGGTACTTACTTTCTGGCTTTACAGAAGGTTCGGGCTTGCTCTGGTCGTTATGGGGAACTGCAATGCGAAGATACAACTGAATGCCACTGAGTGTTATGCCGCTTGCATATTGCTGTCCTATCCAACAAACATATTCGCAATATATGCAAAGAGTCTTTATTCAGCTGACAACACATTGTACCGACCATTTGGCCATGTTGCACCCCCCCTGCAAAAGTGTTTGGTTACCTTTACAGGAATAATCGTTAACTTGGACACCGGGTGTTTAGGAAGGCGGGCAATTCTGTAGATGTTGATGGCTAATATCAGTCTGAAGATGTTTCAGTCAGTATTGGTTGAACTGATAACGGGTTAGTGAGTTAGGTTTCATGCCGTTTGGAAATATATTCAAGTTGCATCACGACGTTATGTGGACCGTGAAGCAGCTCTCAGAAGTTTAGCAAATTGGTGAAACCCATTACTGCAAAACTTAAACTTAAACAGTCGGGGCTAACAGGTTTTTTAACCCAAGTATGCACAGCGAGTCTTAAATGACACCACCTATGCCCCATTAATAAACTACTGTTGACAATATTCCTGTGATGCTACATGAAGTCTACTTACGTTCACAGGTCCCGTGTTCCAGGGCTTTCTGTATATGGGGGAGGGCATTAAAGTTGTCCACCCGGAACACATGCTTGTCTTTGGGTTCGGATCCGACCCCCCGGAGCTCCCTGTCGTCCATGCCACCCACCCCAATGGCGAACACCTCGATACCATCGCTGTGGGCCATGGATGCCTCCCATAGAGTCTTGTCGAGGTTGTGGGAATAGCCATCAGTGATCAGTATGATGACCTTGGCTGCATTGTCACGTCCACCATTCTCCTTCTCGAACATCTTGGAACGTGCGTACTGAAGTGCTTCCCCTGTTGACAAATATAAATACATATGTTACACGTGGCCACTTTGTAACTGGCATCGTGTATTCATAGCTTTTGTTCGTGGGAGCAGTGCCAATTTACACTTGTCAGAGGGACACACACAGTCTGTGATCTGGACTACCAGTTGTCCGGCTACTGCCTCGTTGGCTGAGTGGGTCAGATGGCTGACATTGTGTGCTGGCGATTAGGTGCTTGACTCTGAGAGTGTGGGTTAAAATCCCGGATGGAACTCAACCCCAAAAGATCTAGAACCTGTACTTTACTTGTAATCCCCAAAATAACATATGTTGCATGTGCCAGATGCAGTTCGTAAATGGCGAAGGGCGGACATTTGAATAGATAGATAAGTACTATAGTCACATAACGACCGTTTATCGTAAACCAGGACGATATATGAAAAAAGAGAAAATGAAATACAAAAATGAATGTAAGAGTGTACATAAGTTCTATCTATAAAGAAGAAATGGTAGCTTCTAAAGTCGAACACCCTAACGTAGTGGTTTAGACACTGTGGTCATCAGATCCCAACGCTGTTATGGTGGTCTGTACGTAGTACCTAGATCTGTACATCAATGGAGGACAATGATTCACAATGACCTACATATGGTACAAGTCTCTCATCTAGGTGTTTGGCCATCAGCCGCTGTGCAGCTCGTTCCTGTGGTAAGCGGCCGTTCCTACTAGCATGCACCATTCATGTCCATTTCACATATCAAGGGGCAATCTAGAATTTCTATTTTTCAGAATATCGTGACGGTTCATGTACCAGGATAACAGTCGCAGCAGGTGTGTCATCTCTGGCTGCAATACATCTTCACCTCAGTGATAACACCAGACACACGGGACAGACCTTTGGCGTGGCATTTCACACTCTCTGACACCAAACGCAACATACGTCCTCCGGAAAAGATCCGCTTGACTTCGAATACAACGTTCCACACCACCCGCGTTTAGATGAATTTACTATAAATATCGTGCAAGGTCATGTATCTATTCTCATCCCTAACGGTGGACCAGTACACAGTGGGATGAAACCTGCACCTGTGCAACCCCGGGGGGAAGGGTGGGGGTGGTTATAGATGGTCATTGTAACTGTAAGCTGCACCCTTTGGTTTCTTGTGGTCATTTGAGCAAACACAGCCCGCATATGTGTCTTTGAGGTGTGGAGGAGGGGTGACCTATGATGGATAGTGTAGGGGGTCATGCTGAAAGGGGTTAACAGCTGGCCGTAGCCCTCACGTAAAAAAACACCCAATTCTCACGTACTGAGTTTGAAATGAATCTCTAAAGGTGTGAATTTCTCTCATGATCGGATAATACAGACTGAAGTAGAGATGTACAGGTTGAAGTCGGATGACGGTTAAAGATCCAACTAAGTCTAAGGCCTAATTTGCATTCAGTTCAGCCTACCCGTGTTTGTTCCTTGTCGTTCGCCGAGGTAGGAAACTCTACTGATGGCGGCCTTCAACCCTTCCTTGGTCTGGTGTTCCTTCAGGTTGAAGTCCAGTCTCATGTCTGTCCCAAATGTCATCATACCTACTCGGATGTTTTGGGGACCAACGGCAAAGGTGACAACTAGCTTCTGCACGAAGTCGAGTTGGGCGTCGTAGTCTGTCTCCCTCAGGCTGACTGAGGAGTCGAGGACAAAGACGACATCAGCTACCTTCACGTGGCATTCCAAGGAATCTGTAAAACACAGGGTTACATCATTAAACAGAATATCTGTACAGTGATGCTGATAGCTGTAGAGCCAGTGGGCATGTACTAGCGTCATGTCTTATCAATCTCCACTAATTCTGATGCTTTATTGGGTGTATTCCATATACTTTCACTCCACTGAGTGTTACAGTCGGACAGCTGGATGTGTAAGTGAGATGTCTGTGTTGTATTCCGTCCAGTAGAATGTCCACATTTAGTCATTCTGAGATTCTTTGAAGACGTTGTAGGGGGTAGTCATACTCAGTGTTGGTTACACTGTTGCATATCTGGAAACGATATTCCTGCATATGAGTGAGTGAGTGAGTGAGTGAGTGAGTGAGTGATTTTGCGTTTGACAGGCATTCTTCCATGTGGATAAAAATATTGGGCTTCGAACCCGTGTGTGGAACAATCCGGCTACCATGAAAAGAGATTTTGGGTCAAATAAGGTTAAAATAATCGAGCATTCCACTTTTTAATATTTAGATATTACTTGTATTTCACGTTGTAATTTCAGTAAAGTGTATATTTAATAATCCACTATTCCTTCATATTTTACCAAGAACGGAAGATGCACTAGGTGATACAGCACTAGGTGATACAGCACTAGGTGATACAGCACTAGGTGATACAGCAGTAGGTGATACAGCACTAGGTGATACAACACTAGGTGATACAGCACCAATATATAAGTGCTATTGGCTCTGCACTGATCACCCTTCCAGTCACGTGACAAGTGCAGTATGTCCTCCATCCCCCGATATCAGGCGATGTGGGGGAGTGCAGGGCGGGGATTGACATTCATTTAAACAATATGTGTTTATACATACATTGTTCGAGTTGTTGTGCTGGATGTGTATGTAGGAGGGAAACTGTCACATTTGGTCAACTGCCGAACCTATCAAGTTCTCCAGTACGCCCAGAGGGTAAGCGTATACCACTGTTTGTGTGGCAACTCGGATTACAGTTGGGTACAGTTGGGTACAGTTGGATTACTTTTGAATAGACAACTACAGATCAAAATCACACAACAGACACAATTAAATAAAATAGCCGCATATACGTATGAATATTTATAATGAGTGTTTGTGGGTTTACGATAGTTGACATTGTAACTGAATGGTTTGCAAACAGCTCTGGAGTCTGACCGATGGCCTGTGTCACTACATATCTTTCTTTAGGTGTGACGCAGAGGAACAGTAAGGACACACTTCATGAAATATGTTTGTACCTTTGGGAGCCTTAAAACAACCCTTTTAGACTGGTGTTGAAACAATGCTGCGGTTGTCGTTGCATGCGACACACGTTGTAAACACATTACTTAGACATTACATCACACTTCACTTCATATTCGAGATATGTATCACGGCATTGTTATAGGGGTATGTATCACGGCATTGTTATCGGGATGTGTATCACGGCATTGTTATCGGGTTATGTATCACGGCATTGTTATCGGGATGTGTATCACGGCATTGTTATCGAGATATGTATCACGGCATTGTTCTCGGGATGTGTATCACGGCATTGTTATCGGGATGTGTATCACGGCATTGTTATCGGGATGTGTATCACGGCATTGTTATCGGGATGTGTATCACGGCATTGTTATAGGGGTATGTATCACGGCATTGTTATCGGGATGTGTATCACGGCATTGTTATCGGGATGTGTATCACGGCATTGTTATAGGGATGTGTATCACGGCATTGTTATCGGGATGTGTATCACGGCATTGTTATCGGGATGTGTATCACGGCATTGTTATAGGGTATGTATCACGGCATTGTTATCGGGATGTGTATCACGGCATTGTTATCGGGATGTGTATCACGGCATTGTTATCGAGATATGTATCACGGCATTGTTATAGGGATGTGTATCACGGCATTGTTATCGAGATATGTATCACGGCATTGTTATCGGGATGTGTATCACGGCATTGTTATCGGGATGTGTATCACGGCATTGTTATCGAGATATGTATCACGGCATTGTTATCGGGGTGTGTATCACGGCATTGTTATCGAGATGTGTATCACGGCATTGTTATCGAGATGTGTATCATGGCATTGTTATCGGGGTATGTATCACGGCACTGTTTACTGCTCAGTTAAGCCGAATGATTTACCGGGTTCGACACGTCGTATTTTAAGGTTTATGAGTTACAAAGTTACTGCTCTGCTTGTGAAGGAGGCCTTTATACTTGTTATACAAACTGTGGAACACACAAGGCAGAGGGGAGTGACATGGGCGAATAGCCAGCCAACGAATGGGGATCGACGAAAACTTAGTCCTCCTCCACGTACCTCAATTCGATGTACAGGTGAGGTAGTGAGTTTAATTTTACGCCGCTTTTAGCAATATTCCAGCAATATCAAGGCGGGGGACACCAGAAATGGGTTTAACACATTGTACACATGTTGAGAATCGAACCCGGGTTCTCGGCGTCGATATACACTGGGCTTGAAGGAAATGTACTAGTTTTCATATAAAACCCTTTCCCAGTAATAACAATTCCCCCAATTTGCGATAACACAATCTTTCTAAACACATTCAGCTACATATATGACGAGAAGCTTCTTCGTCATCTGTGGCCTGGCTCACACTTGATTTCTCGGATTTATCACTCAGCGCTCTTCAGAATCGATCAGATATCCTTGGTGACGAATAATCATTATCTCTCAGGCTTGAATTATGTACGTTACGTAGTCACCATGTATCATCTACTGACTAACGGTGAATAGTTGGGTGAACACCCTGTGGTTTATGAGGAACATGGGGCTTCACATCTCCATACCAATGATAACAGCATCAGTCCTGTGATGTAGTGGGAGGTACGGGGCAGCGTGGACTGGGGAAACCATCATCCCGAGTGAGGGATTACAGAGGCCTGTCTTGAGTTACCTGACATGGAGCAATATCTCCTTTACTCTATGTACTTGTGTGTATTGAACCATCTGTCAGTGAGTGAGTGAGTGATTGGGAGAGAGGGTGAGTGGGTGAGTGGGTTTTGAGTGAGTGAGTGGGTTTTGAGTGAGTGAGTGGTAGTGAACCTGCACAAACACGAAACACGTGTGGGAATGCACAGAGAAGAACCTTCATTGTACTGTAGTGCGGGGTGATAAACGGCGGGAACGCTTTAACCCCTGGGTTACACAGTAACACACCAAATACAGTACGCTTTAACCCCTGGGTTATACAGTAACACACCTAATACAGTACGCTTTAACCCCTGGGTTACACAGTAACACACCTAATACAGTACGCTTTAACCCCTGGGTTATACAGTAACACACCTAATACAGTACGCTTTAACCCCTGGGTTACACAGTAACAGACCTAATACAGTACGCTTTAACCCCTGGGTTACACAGTAACACACCAAATACAGTACGCTTTAACCACTGGGTTACACAGTAACACACCTAATACAGTACGCTTTAACCCCTGGGTTACACAGTAACACACGAAATACAGTACGCTTTAACCCCTGGGTTACACAGTAACACACCTAATACAGTACGCTTTAACCCCTGGGTTACACAGTAACACACCAAATACAGTACGCTTTAACCCCTGGGTTACACAGTAACACACCAAATACAGTACGCTTTAACCCCTGGGTTACACAGTAACACACCAAATACAGTACGCTTTAACCCTGGGTTACACAGTAACACACCTAATACAGTACGCTTTAACCCCTGGGTTACACAGTAACACACCAAATACAGTACGCTTTAACCCCTGGGTTACACAGTAACACACCTAATACAGTACGCTTTAACCCCTGGGTTACACAGTAACACACTTAATACAGTACGCCTGGGTTACACAGTAACACACCTAATATAGTACGCTTTGACCCCTGGGTTACACAGTAACACACCTAATACAGTACGCTTTAACCCCTGGGTTATACAGTAACACACCTAATACAGTACGCTTTAACCCCTGGGTTATACAGTAACACACCAAATACAGTACGCTTTAACCCCTGGGTTACACAGTAAGACACCAAATACAGTACGCTTTAACCCCTGGGTTATACAGTAACACACCTAATACAGTACGCTTTAACCCCTGGGTTACACAGTAACACACCAAATACAGTACGCTTTAACCCCTGGGTTACACAGTAACACACCAAATACAGTACGCTTTAACCCCTGGGTTACACAGTAACACACCTAATACAGTACGCTTTAACCCCTGGGTTACACAGTAACACACCAAATACAGTACGCTTTAACCCCTGGGTTACACAGTAACACACCAAATACAGTACGCTTTAACCCCTGGGTTATACAGTAACACACCAAATACAGTACGCTTTAACCCCTGGGTTACACAGTAACACACCAAATACAGTACGCTTTAACCCCTGGGTTACACAGTAACACACCAAATACAGTACGCTTTAACCCCTGGGTTACACAGTAACACACCTAATACAGTACGCTTTAACCCCTGGGTTACACAGTAACACACCAAATACAGTACGCTTTAACCCCTGGGTTATACAGTAACACACCTTATACAGTACGCTTTAACCCCTGGGTTATACAGTAACACACCTAATACAGTACGCTTTAACCCCTGGGTTACACAGTAACACGCCAAATAAAGTACGCTTTAACCCATGGGTTATACAGTAACACACCTAATACAGTACGCTTTAACCCCTGGGTTATACAGTAACACACCTAATACAGTACGCTTTAACCCCTGGGTTATACAGTAACACACCTAACACAGTACGCTTTAACCCCGGGATTATACAGTAACAGACCTAATACAGTACGCTTTAACCCCTGGGTTATACAGTAAGACACCAAATACAGTACGCTTTAACCGCTGGGTTATACAGTAACACACCTAATACAGTACGCTTTAACCCCTGGGTTATATAGTAACACACCTAATACAGTACGCTTTAACCCCTGGGTTATACAGTAACACACCAAATACAGTACGCTTTAACC